CTTTGAGTGCAGACTCAATATGGACAGGCCCTCAGAATGAGCAGTCCCACTTCTCTCAGGAAGGTGGATGATTATGTAACTGATTTTCATTCGAGTTATCAGTTAACATCGAGATCCATTGCTATGAAGCTGACAATAGCTCATAGTGATCCGATGTCCCACAAAGGAGAACTAGTCCAGGGGGATTTCTTAGCTGGGATTTTTACCTAAGAAGATAACCAGGTGTTTCTCTGACTGTGTCACTGGGTAGATTCAGATCCCAGACCTTTAGGTCAGTAGTCAATCCCAAACTGCTTGTACCACCCAGGGACTTATAAAAAGTAACATTATAAGGAGCTGATGCCAGGGGCTTAAGTGGCGAGGAAATGTTTTGAGAATGATGAGGGCAATGAATGTACAAATGTGCTTTACACAACTGATGTATGCATGGATTGTGATAAGAGTGGTGTGAGCCCCTAATAGAATGATTAAAAAAAAGAGCAGAAACTGACAGCTGCCACCATTAAAAAAAAAAGGAAAAAAAAGCTATGTTCTATACAAAGGGTTTTTACATCACTGATATGGAGCACAATGGAATTAGGACAAAGTATGGATAAGATAAACAAATATGAATAAAATTACTTTCTGAAAAAACTAACATTATACTACCTTTTTGTAAGAAACTTTCAAGTGAGCAAACTTCATTTAAGCCAATCTTATAACGTAAAATTCCCCTTCATGATTGTATATTTACTGGCATTATCGCTCCCAAACCCTTTTCAATACTTTCTCCCATAATGGGCTTCACTAGACCACATGCAGCTCTGCCTCTAATTATGTTTACTTCATTTGCCTTTGAATTTTTCTCATCATAGTATCATTTGAATCAGTGGAAGGTGGCTTATCCTAACAAAATTTAAAGTATTAAGCTACTATCAAATGCAATGTATATGAGTGATATTTTAGTAATTATCTTATAATCTTTTCAACCATTAATTCAATAGGATTCAAAATCTACTCTTTGAAACGTGCTGGGCTAAGTGCTGCGAGGAACGGAGTGATAGTGTGCCTTAGAGTTCAGCGTTCAGAGCTCAGAGCATTTTCAGGCAGAGGCATACCCTTGAACACAACCACAGGGATGGAAAGTTCAGGGTTTGCTTGACTGCTATATACAGGATGTGAAGAGGAGGTAGGAGAATACCCATATATTCTCCAGTATCAGCCGAGGCACCTAATTTTACCACAGAAACTGCATAAAAATGTGCTGAAAAACTCAGCTTATACATGAGTATATACGGTAGTTAAGAATGGCAAGGTAGATTGGCTTGTTTGAAGCACTCAGTGCCAAACTTCCTCATCATGCCAAAGGAGATTCTTGAGCAGGACAATGACATTCCCTAGACTACACTTTGGAAAGCTTCACGGTGTGGGAAAAATTATAGCAGTGGACTTGGAGGCTGGAATCTAGTTGAGCTATTATTAGAGTGGACCAAATTAGGAGATTGAGAGCATCAACAAATGACCGTCTTAACCGGGGTAAGAGAATGGATTTCAGAGAATGGATCCCAAAGACAGAAACAATCACTGTATCCCTCTTCTTGAGGATTGTCTACTTTTTAAAAAAAATCATTTTATTGGGGGCTCATACAACTCTTATCACAATCCATACATATATCCATTGTGTTAAGCACATTTGAACATTTGTTGCCATCATCATTCTCAAAATATTTGCTTTCTATTTGAGCCCTTGATATCAGTTCCTCATTTTCCCCCTCCCTCCCCACTTCCCACTCCCTCGTGAGCCCTTGATAATTTATAAATTATTATTTTGTCATATCTTGCCCTGTCTGACGTCTCCCTTCACCCACTTTCCTGTTGTCTGTCCCACAGGGAGGAGGTCACATATAGTTCCTTGTAATCGGTTCCCTCGTTCCAACCCATTCTCCCTCTACCCTCCCAGTATCACCGCTCACACCAGGGGGCATTGTAGCAATGATGAAAAATACAACTTTTCTCTAGTTCCTGTTTCCTCCCCGCTCTCACTCTCATGATATGAATTCTACCTTGCAAGTCTGGCTAGACCAGAGGATGTACAATGGTACTTTTTTGCTGACTTAACCGAGAATGGCTAAGTCTCCTGATAATATGTCCAAAGTACCAAGTTTCACTAGTCTTGTTATCAAAGAGCATTCTGGATTTAATTTTTCCAAGAATTAATTGTTTTTTCTTCTGGCAGTCCACAGTACTTCCAATATATTCTTCATCAACACTATAATTCAAATGCATCAGTTCTTTCCCATTCTTAATCTTTCATTGTCCACCTTTCTCATGCAAATAAGGAAATTGAAAATACCTTTCGTAAGCACACCTTACTCTTCAAAATGACTTCTTTGCTCTTTAACACTTTCAAGAGGTCTTTTGCTACGGATTGACCCAATGCAATATGTGTGGTTTGATTTCTTGACTACCACAATCTATAAATTTCTGTTTAGCAGCAGAAGGGCAATTACCTATGTAATTGTTATAGCACACCATGACAAAAGGGAGAAAATCAGGAGACAAATGAAGGAAGAAAACTTGGCCATGGGGACAATAGGAGCTGCCAATGTGCATCTAGAGAACAAAGTACTTTGGACACCAAGTGAGGGGAAGTTTTCCTAAAAAAATGGACTATGGAAGAAACAGATACTTCCTTCACACTTTTTTCTCCCTTCTATATTTTTTCCCTTTAATATTGGAATCAGAAGCCCAGCAATGAACTGCATTTCCCAGCCTCCTTTATAAAATAACTGAGCGTGGGGAGTAGGGAATAATTGGAGGCAATTTCCTCTCAATGGCTATGAAAGCTCTCTCTAACTCTAGCTCCCTCATTCTTTAAGTAAGTTTCAACATCGTCCTTGAAAAAGTAGAACTATTAATAGAATTCACCTTCTCGGTTGAGCATTGTCCATGTAAAATGCTTCAAACAGTTCCTGGCATATAGTTGGTGCTCAATTAATGTGAGTTTAACAAATCAGGTGTTCACTAGTAATATGGTATAGCATTTTCAAAACCTATTGTATAAACTATGGCATGATTCAGAGCTATATAGTCCACAGTCCACAGAGATGTACCGATGGGAGTGGAGCACAGGCCCCCTCCTGAGAGGTGAGAAGTCTACCACTGAACTCTCACTTTCCCATCAGCAGGCACGTCTTCACTATTTCAGCTTGAATGCATATCACGTTACAATGTAACTTCTAAAAACATTGATAAGTTCCATTTATTTTGATATGTGCTTAATGATTTATTATCATTACCTTTTAAAAAGTAGAGGAACCCTGGTGGTTTAATGGTTACTGTTGGGCTGCTAAATGCAAGGCCAGCAGTTTGAAACCACCAGCCATACTAAGGGAGAAAGATGGGCCTTTCTGTTCCTGTAAAGAGTTATAGTCTTGGAGCTCATAAGGACGGTGGTAGCCTGTTCTATAGGGTTGCTATGAATCAGCATCGACTCGACAGCAGTGTTTTGGTTTAAAAGAGCATAACCAATTAAGTCATAAGGGGTTGAAGAAATTAATTTCAAAATGGAAGTTTTTTATTTGTTTGAAATCATTTTATTGGGGTCTCGTACAACTCATCACAATCCATACATACATCCATTTTGTCAAGCACACAAAATGGAAGTTTTATAACATCTATAAAGCGTGACCTCTTTCCACAGAATTCCACCCCTCATTAGAGACTCCAGATATCATCTATTATTTACTCAATCCTAACGTGTTATAAAGAAAAAAAATTGTTGACTACTGTTTTTCAAGACAGCTAATCTGCAATAGTGAGTCAGCTTTAGTTCTCATGTTTTGCTCTGGTTGAAGGCCCATTTTAAAGTTTATTCCGATTTGGGGCAGCATAGAGAAATGAAAGGCACCTATATTTTAGTGTCGAATAAATCTTTGGCTCTCTTTTTTGGTTCCATCTTTTACTAATAGTATGGTGTGTTAGGCCAGGTTCTGCAGAGAAGCAAAACCACGGAAGCGTGTATATGTACCGTATGTATAAAGAAATGGCTCACACAGCTGCAGAAGGGGCTTAAGTCCAGTCCAAATCAAGCCCTGGGTTCTAGCTGGGAAAAACTGCCTAGGGAACTTTTAAGTGGAATTTTGACACACAACACTTCTCAAGCGCAAAAGCTAGATTCCATTGCCAAAGGCGGAACACTGATTTAGTGGACCTTCCCAATACCTTTGTTTTACTTTAGAAACAGCGATGACTAAATATTACCATCGGTTACCTGCCTAGTACCAGACAACACAAGTAACTTCCAGTTTATCCACACTTGCATTGCTTCAGCTGGTGAGCTTCCCGTCTCCCTCCCCTGGTTCTCCGTTTCTGTACCTCCCTCTCCCCACCCCCTTCCATCCCCGGATTCCTTTTAGCTCAGTCTGGATCGTCAGTGGGATCAACTCAGACGTGCTTTCCCTCGGTAAAAAGCGTGGTGCAGGGGTTGCGGAAAGCAGGATCTGATTCGTATCGGTATTTTTCTTTCATGATTGCGGTGGAGTTTCATCCGGCTACCCTGGTTTACACGGCAAATGGATCAAGGTCAATCTTCCCTAACCCCCTTTAAAGCGTCTCGGTAGAGGGACCAGAGCCCGGGAGCTGAAGCACTCCATTGCCGGAACAGCATCCGCCCTCTCTTCTGGACGCTGACGTCACCGGACCCCGCCGGCGGCCGGGCGGCGCGCACACCTGTGCGCATGCTCTGTAGGCTCGGGCTGGGAGGCCGGCCCACCCTCGCTCCAGCCGGGCCCGCCCCCTCCCTAGCCGGGCCCGCTTCCTCCCTAGCTTCCGGGAAGGCTGGCCAGGGGCCAGCGACGGCCGGAAGCCTTAGGGCGGTTCCTGCTCTGCTGCTAACGACCTCCCGGAGCGGCTTCCGCCTCAGCCCTGGAAGGGAATGTTCTGCGGGAGCGCTCGCTCTGGCTGCGCGCCGGCCCCCCGCTTTACCGCCGGGCCCGAAGGCCTCATGGGGGTACCTGGCACTACTGAGCGGGCCCGGAGGTGCCCCTCCCCTCGGGGATAGCGCCTCCATTTCCGGAGTGTTGTCCGGGCCCCCTCGCTTGTGCCTGGTGCTTCGTACCCCTAGCCGGTAGCCACTCCGTGTCCACTCCTTTTTTAGCGCCCTGTCCTGCCATTATGTATGATCGGGCGCCCCGTTTGCTCAAATTGACTGAGGGTAGCGGCACGGAGGACTGTGTAGGTCCTGGGTCTTACCAAGTACCTTTCCTGAAGCAGCAGGTGACAGGTAAGATGGAGGGAAAGCCCAGCCTTCTGTCGCTGGCGCTTCGACTGCAGCCTGCTCCTCCGCTGTGTGGGCCTGCAGATTACACACAAAGCGAACGCCCACTTAGAATAGCACTCATAGGTATGCCAAAGCATAAAGTCGGCAGAAGTCTATTTTACAATGAGAACTGGTAAACTAGCTTGTCCCATTGGCCCAATCCAGTAAGTCCAAGTCAATGAAAACGGTTTCCCATACCGTGCTCACTTGTACAGACTAACTCCAGAATTTGGATTACATGGTTTTGCTGAGAATGTAATACTCAAAATCCCCACGTACTTATATTATTATGGTTTTTAACTTTTTGCAGACCTGGCTGCCTCACATACCTTTGTTATTCTTCATCGAGACATTAATTGACTAAGAGGTAAACTTCGAACCTACCCAGGAGGAAGCTACAGCGATCTGCTTCCCTAAGATTACGGCCTAGGAGACACGATAGGACAGCTCTTCATATGAGCTGTCTTTATGAGCTGACAGTCTACCAACAGCCCTGAATAACAACTTTTACATTTACACTATACAACTAAAGTGAAAGATAATCCCATCTCTATTTTTTTCCTATCCAGTGCTTCCTTGCTGATGATATCCACATTCCCTTTAAACTACCCTCCCCCCAATTTTATTACAAAAGCTGTATATACTCTTAAGGGTTGGAGTAGATACAAATAATCTAAATATTACTTGCTTCTATTTGTAGTTAGTGATGTAGGTAGAAACATTTAATAAATATTTCCATTTTGCATTAGAAAACTTTTTGTTTTCTAATGACATTCTGAAACAGGACAATCCAAATTATATTTTCCCCCCTATACCTATATAGTTCTATACCTACCTATACCTATGTATCTCTATACCCCTATACCTATATAGTTCTATACCTACACCATATGTTTTTAAACTAAAGTTATGGTCATATGATAATCACATTAGGATCGGATTTTGTTTCTTTGTGTGGATTATAAAATTGTCATCTGTCGTTTTAATCTTGAATTTTTCTGCTTATCTCCATCTGATATTAAATTAAAACCAAAACCAAACTCATTGACGTCGAGTTGGATCTGACTCATAGTG